CACTTGCAGCAATTAGTACTTTATTAGCTCCACTGTGGTTTACAAGAGCTTCACTCTAGTGCACTTAACTACAGCAGAGCCACGCAGGGATAACTTGGAGTCTCTATAAAAGATCTCATTGGAAATGATGCCCCTGCCGACACTATAAACTCCAAAACAAAATGCCTCAAAAAATTGACACACACATCTCTTCGGTATGCAGAATAAGGTGGAATTTGTGCTCAATAGTTAACATATGTTATAGGTTGTGCTGAGGTGAAAAAGTTAGTGGGACAATTTGTGGAGTGCAACCAAATGTTGCTTCTGTCTCTTGAATCTGTTAAGGTGGCAGCCAGTTTGAATAAGCTTGTTGGCACTGTCCTTGGTTCTGAAAGTCATTTAGTTTATAATGATTTTTGGTGCTGATAGTCAAAGCTTTTTAGGAAGGTTTTTGGTGCTGTCCTTAGTCCTGAAAATCAAAGCTTAAAAGGGAGGATACTTGGTGCTGTCTGTTACAACCCCAGGGGGTAAACCCTCACACCTTCCTGCCATCTTATCATATTGCTGCTGTTCAGGTCTGTAATAGTACCTGTTATTTTCCTGTCTGGTTCAACTCCATACAGTGAAGCCTGCTGAAGGCTCCACCCAGCTGCTCCCCATCAAGCTAATCAGCTGCAGCTGCTACTCAAGGAGCTGCTGAACTCTCAGTAGAGAGAGGAGTTGGTTGATATGGTTCAGTCAGGGAGGGAGCTCAAGTGCTGGACTGGTTTCTTTTGAGTATTTGGAGACTTTGTTCAACTTAGCTGCTTTTGTTTAGTCTCTTTGGAGTATTATGAGACTTTGTTAAACTAGCAGCCTTCCTTTTGTCTCTTTGGAGTAATTTGAGACTTTGATTAATTAGCTCTTTAAGACATTTAAGCTCTTGTGCTTTTAAGGACTTCAAACTCTTGTCCGTAGGCACTTATGTTTAGAGCTCTTAAAGCTGGGAGCCAGGGGAGAGACATGCACTCACTGACAGAGACATTTTGCTTTCGGACTTCTCCATCTCCTGGGGAGTGTTGCAAAGCAATTCCTCGCCAGGACAACAGAGGACGTAGCGCTATTCTGTGGTATCTTGTCATGTATCTGGTCGAAGATAGTGTATTTACTGTTGTATTTATATTGTGGAATCTTTTTTGTATTTCAGAGAAGTTAACACAGACAAATTTGTCCCACATTCTCCTCCACCTCTTTATGCACTTGCCACCTCTAAACCCATGTTTCCCGTCATTTCCATCCATGAATATAACACTTGCTTCCTATATTTTTACTCCTGTCACAGTGTAACAACCTGTGATGGTCACCTCACCATGGTTCCTCCCGCCACTTTCACTCAGCCACCGTCCTGATTGCACTTCCCTGCGCACCTGTGCAGATTACTCCGCTCCGCCCTTTAACTGCCTGCACATCTCATTCATTTCTCTCTGTCCCCTGCGAGCAGCAGCGTGTTGTGAAGGAGCTGGAAAGCAAAGAGCCGACTATTTAAAAGTTGTCTTACCAACCACAGAGGTTGTTAATCCCTCTACACTAAAATCCAGACGTTAATTAACGGAAGGAAACGTTAACTTAACGAGTTAACCTTTGCTATTGGAAGCCAACGTCATCGCCAAGACGCCACTTTATCTGATCAACCCGACAACAGCTGTAAGTGCACAGCGATCTCTGTTGGAAAAGAAAAAGAAACAAACTTTCCCTTACCTGACTTTCTTTCAAAGGAAGAATTTACCTTCTCTGGACCACCAGCTGAAGAAATCCTCATCTCACTCCACAAGATCTGTCAAAACGTGAGTCTAACCCCACAAATACAAATTCAAATTCAAAGATACTTTATTAATCCCAGAGGGAAATTAGAGTTTCAGTACACACAATTCTGAGATCATACATATGAGATACATACATAGACATGGACACATGACAAGAATTGGTGACTGTGGTCATTCGCAACCCGAGTTGCACTACCTTAATAGAGATCTGAGGGTTTGTATGAGGATTGAGTCAGGTGGAGGAAAAAAGACTTATATATCTCCCTTATATATACTTATTTATACTAATATATCTAATCTTGCAAATATAAGCAAAATAATTCTCAATTAATAAAAGGGGGAAAACTTTGTTTTCTTTAGTGAAAACATTGTGTGAGTCTTGCTACTCCTCATTGGATTCCTTAAAGTCAACCTGTCAAGTAAGTTTATTTCTTTTTGATTTCTTTACTCGTAATATAAACATGTACATATTGTAAAAAAAACTTGTTCTGTGATATAGATTTTTTGCGCAAATCCATACAACACGCCTGACCTTGGGATGAAGAACAAAGAAATGGACTTCTGAAAAACTTCAACTCAAGAATTGTCTTCCTGAACTTTTGATTTGTTGGCGTAATTTTTCTTTGTTAGTCAGGATTTTTCTTTAAGTTTGTATAGGGGTATATATCTAGCAATGTCCTTGTGTAGCGGGTTTATTAAATCATTCCTTTAATTATTAAAACCTCCTATAAGTCAGGAGGGAGACCTGACTGGCACCCCTAAAAACCGTTACATAAAAAGTAGCACCCCAGATGGGACTTGAACCCGAAAGGGCCACACAAACCTGTATAAAACGTTCATATTTTTAGTGTTTCCACAAGATATTCTTCAAGCTGCTTCAATGTCTGCCACTAGATATCTTTAGCCCTCTTTATAATTTTAAGGACACAATGGCGGCACTTTTGACAAAAATGGCATCCTGACCAATCACAAGGTTGTTTTCTCTGTTTCTTTGGATGGATGTATAGATAAGGGGTGAGGATTGCTGTAAAGCTGGAGTTCTGGTAATGGAAACATGCCGAAAGCTATCTAGGGAGGGCTTTTTGTGCTGTCCTTAGAACTGAAAGTCAGAACTTTCTCAGGATGTTTGGTGCTGTCTTTCCTTAGTTCTGAAATTCAGAATTTTTAAAGGATTTTTGATGCTGTCCTTATTCCCGAAAGTCAAAGATTTCTAGGAAGCCTTTTTAGTGCTGTCCCTGATCCTGATTTAAGGATTTTAGTTTAAGCATTTTAGGGAGGATTTTGGTCCTGTCCTTACTCCCGAAAGTCAAAGTTTTCTTAAGAGGGCTTTAGTGCCGTCCTTAGTCCTGAAAAAAAGATGTTTTTAAGGATTTCTTGGTGCTGTCTTTAGACCCAAATTCAAATATTTCTAGGGAGGATTTTTGGTGCTGTCCCTGGTCCTGAATGTCAAAGTTTTATAGACGGTTTTTGGTGCTGTCCTTGGTCCTGAAAATAATATGTTTTTAATGGTTTTGGTGCCGTCCTTGGTCATGAAAGTCAACCTTTTCTAGAGAGGGGTTTGGTGCTGTCCTTGGTCCTGATAGTGGAAGTTATTTAGGGAGGCGTTTTGGTGCTATCCTTAATCCGGAATGTCAAAGTTTTCTAGGGAGGTTTTTTGGTGCTGTCTTTAGTACTGAAAGTCAGAATTTTGTCAGGATGTTCGGTGCTGTCTTTCCTTAGTTCTGAAATTCAGAATTGTTAAGGATTTTTGATGCTGTCCTTAGTCCCAAAAGTACAAGTTTCCTAAAGATAGTTTTAGTGCCTTCCTTAGTCCTGAAAAGAAGATGTTTTTAAGGATTTTTTGGTGCTGTCTTTAGACCCAAAAGTCAAATATTTCTCGGAAGGATTTTTGGTGCTCTCTCTGGTCCTGAATGTCAAAGTTTTGTAGAGACAGCTTTTGGTGCTGAAAAAAAAGATGTTTTTGTGGGTTTTTGGTGCTGTCCTAAGTCCTGAAAATAAGACGTTTATAACGATTATGGTGCTGTCTTTAGTCCCTAAAGTCATAGTTTTCTTGGGAGGATTTTTGGTGCAGACTTGATTCATGAAAGTCCTGGTACTGAAGGTAATGTATACTGATTGGTAGGCTATTAAAATTATCTTTCTTCTGCATGTGTGCTTTTTGTTGATTAGATTTTTTATGTTTGTTTTGCCTAATCAATCTCACCCTTTTCCACATTGAACAATTTAATGGTCATAACTTTTAATCAGACACAAACGTTTGTCACTGCTATATTTCCAGAATCCTTTAATTCTCAATTTATTTTATGAACTGTCAACTAGCTGTTTTCTAAACATGTAAAATGAATAATAAATGGTCTGTATTTATATAGAGCCTTTTTGGGGTTCTACAACAGTATCTTGCCCAAGGATACAATGGCAGCATCATGGACATAATTTTTTTTGGGGGGGGGGGCATGTCCCCCCCACTTATTCCAAAGTCAAGTTTTGACCCCTGCACTTTTTACCATCCAAAAACTATATTACGCTATATTAAATTGACACTGGTTGAGCTCTAGGACCAAGCGGAAAGCAACCGTTTGTGTTGAAGCCGGTTTCCCATTAGAACATATTGTAAAGATACCACCCCCCCCCCCGTGCCCCCCCCCCCCCCCCCCCCCCCACACACACACACACACACACACTTCTAAAGTGAAAATTCCGTCCTTGGGCTGCATTCTCTGGTGTGAGCCAGGATTGAACCTACAACCTTTCAGTTCCTGAAAAACTTGCTCTACCTCCTGAGATACTGACCTGTCACATTTTGAGCTAAATTAAACACTTGAACTTTGAAAAATGGAAATGTTATCCCTAACAAGTGCAGAAGATCCACAAGCAGAAATCACTATACGTTTAAATTTTTTTTACATAACATAGCTCAGGGTTTTTCGTACTTCGCTTTGAATGTTTACTCAAAAATATTAAATCTCTGTCAAGCAGGTCGGTGGACTATTTCTCTCTTCTTATAATTGACACCAATTTTCCATTCATGACTCATCCCTGAAAAAAATACGAACAAATTAGTTCGTTTGCTGCATAATAAACATTTAAATGTCACCCGTTTGGTGGAATATAATTTCGGATTGAGATAAATATTTATCAGGTATTCTGAGATGATCAGGGTTGTGAAATTGATGGCTTCTTGCTGACGTAATACCGATTATCTAAATGCTTTACTTTGAACAGTCAGAGTCGCCCGATGCGCTCCGTTTCCTCGCCACACTTTTCTCTCTTCTCCTCCACTCCGTTTCCTCCAGTAAACCTGCTGTGATCTTCAGGCACTTCGTGCCCAGACCGACACGTTAAAGGTCTTTAAAAATCTATCTCTCCAGTGGTTTTTGTTGAGTCCATTCTAAATATTTCCTACGCCAATCGACGTGGAGCTGATGAGCTGGAGGAGAATCGTGGAAACCTAGCACAGGTGACAGGAGCTTTTACGACGCTGCGGTACAGATGATTGACCAGTTTGAGCCTTAACTGAGCGCGCTGCGCCTCCTTTTACTTACACAGGGCGGAAACACGTTGTGGGGACAGCTTAAGGAACGATGATCAACTTGTGATTTTGAACACGCGAAAGAACAAAAATGTGTCGCTTCTGAAGAAGATGTAACCTTTTGTTTTACGCACAGAAACGGACCCAGTTGCTCCTTTTCCCATCAGATGCTGGGTCTGCGTTTTTGCAGGATTACAGTCATGACTGTTGAGAGAAACCGGGCTGGATTGTGAAATCTTTTTTTTCTCTTTTCAATTCTATTTTTTGTCAAGAGGAAGTGATCTGTTTCTTCAATGGCTCCGGGGTCCAGACGCAGAGATGCCTGCACTCGTTGGCCGAAGATGTCGTCAACTTTCTGGGTAGTGGTGCTTCTGACGGCGCTGCTGGTTCTCTACTGCGGTAAGTCCAGCCGCGCATTTTGGACCGCGCACTGTTTTCACTGCGCGCTGGGGTGACCGTGTCATGTGTGAAGGCTTTGACATCAAATTCACGATAAAATCAGTCGAACCAACACCCCCCACCCTCTTCAGAACTGGAAAATGACAGACTTGTGCAGGGGTGAGAGGAAACCGTGCCGCATTGGCTGGTGGAGCAGGATTAACTTGTATGAGTCAGACTCCTAACTGAAGTCCTGTGACTTATTTTAATTTTCCACACGCGCACACGACTGTCCTGCAGGGCGACATGAGGTCCGTCACTTTATCTCTGCATCAACAACTGATATTAATGTTTGAATACGTCCCGATTAGCTGGACAAACTGCCCTCCAGGCTGTAATTTTAATACCGCCCGAGGAGAAACACTATTAGGCAAATGTACTGTATGCCGGCGCCCAATCTCTGTTTGGCTACTTCTGTGGCACCCTCTCACATTCTCCCCCTCTTCCTCTCCTCCTCTCTGCCTCCAACAGCATCTGACTCAGTTCACTGCAGAAACCGAGCTGACACTGTATGTGTGAAATAAAACGGGGGTGGGGGGGGGTGGGGGGTGGGGGGGGGGGGGGGGTGATGGCCACGAGAAGAGCATTGAACAGGATATTTAATTAAGAATTTAGGTATAATTATCTTTAAGTGCATCTGCTCTGCTGGTGTTTAACTGAAACAAAACAGCAGGCTGACTGCAGCCCTTCCGTTTTATTTACAGCAGAGGCATGATTGAGTTTGCTTTGCAATCGCACTGGCCTCAGGTGAATCAATGATAGTTGGCTTCCAAGCAGCAAAGCTCCTGGATCAGAAAAGCATATGGTGCGGGGGTCTTTTTCCTCTTTTATGGTTCCTTTGGTCATGTCGATTGACTATCTGCTCATGTCAGATCGATGGTGCTCTAATGTTTGTCTCAGTCAGCAGTCTTCCAGCTTCTGCATGCAGGACCTTCGACCTCACAACCTGCAACACCTTATCACTCCTGGAACAGTAATAAGCTGTAAGGACTCAGTTTATTTCCTCTTTCGGTGTTTCTACAGGCAGTTATTTCTCAATCACTGCAAAGCAATTAAATGTTTTTTCAATTTCTGTGGGAAATAGCACATAGTTGTTCTTGTGGTCTGCTTTGCTTTCACATACTCTCATTCCAAGTTGATTTTCAGTCATAGGTCACGTTTTTCCTCATTTAGTCTACATGTGTAAACTCAGCTCATCACTGTTTGTGTTTTGTTCTCTTCTCAAACATCTTACAACTTGTCTTTTAAATGAGTTTTGTTTGAATGTTTCAGCTCTTTCCACATATAGAATTAGCCAAATGTTAGTTGTGTTATTTTTGGATTTCTAAGCCTGTAGCTCATTATTTCCATTTACAATTTCCCTCAGGATCAATAAATATTTCTGATTCAGACTCCAAACATTAATCAGTTTTATTAAAGTAACATAATAATAGATGGTAACCTTTTCTTTTACATAGTCAAATAGTTGACATTTTGTTCAAATAACCATTGAAACAAATTGTTTTGCAGAAATCTTCTTATATAATATAGTTTTAAAAAGTAATGCTTCAATATAAATATCACACAGTCACACTGTCAGTGGCATTACTTCTGGATGAACACGTTTTTTCGAAGCCAAGTCACGCTACTTGCCAGTCTACTTATGTCGGCACGACAGACACACCGAGGAACCTGTCTGAGCAAGTTTGAGGCAGCGTGTTGGTTTGTTTTGCTGGGGTGCTCGGTAGGGCTGAGGGAAAAAAATCTAATGAGCAAAGCAGTAAGATGCAGAAATGAACGATTATGAATCTTTGAAGAAGCACACCATGCTTGATTATAGCAGTTAGGCGCTAGCATTAGCCACTAGCTTGCTCCGTCTCTAAGCGGTCGTTGCGTCTGTTCTTACGCATCTGCTCCATCAGGAAACCTCAGGGTCAATGTTCTGCTCTAAACCTTACATATGGCCTAGTGGCTTTTAGCCAACCTTTTCACCGTAGCTGCCGACCAGATATCTGTTTATGCCAAACTCCTCCCATGCGTGGTCAGGCAACATCTACGGAGAGCAGTGAGGTACAAATAGCGAGAGTGTAATCCTGACTAGAGAATGCATGAGATAATGATGCATCATGAATTTAGCTTAACATGATAGATTTTAGTCTCTGGACAAGAAATAATTACTGGTAATATTGTGGATGATGGGAGGTGAGCCACCTCTAGATGGAATTTAAATAATTTTACATTAATTATAAATATAGAATTAAATGAAAGTGCCTGTCATTTGAGACATGCATCTTTAGCTCTCAACTATGATTAGATAGATGATGGATGGATGGACAGATGGATGGATGGATGGATACTGGAATTTAAACTTTTTTTTTTTTGGATTTTGAAATATTTCATCCGATTTTCTGTGAAGAGGCATGCTTTTAACATCTGCATTTTCAAAATAGAAAAAAATCATGATGAAACTGTGATTGTGATTTTGCAAAAACAGAATTGTGATAAGATTTTTTTTCCATATAGCCCACACCTAAGATGAACCAAAAAACAAACACAAAGTTCCTTTGCTGTGTCAGCTGGAGAAAACTAAAAAGCAGCATGTAAAAAAAATACCATAAGCAACTGTTACGCACAGTGGTGGAAGGGTGGATAATTGGGCATTAATTGTAAATGGTCTGTATTTGTATAGTGCCTTCTAGAGTCCTAGAACCCAACACACACACACACACACACACACACACACACACACACACACACACACACACTGGTGGTGATGAGCTACAATGTAGCCACAGCTTCCCTGGGACACAACAGTAGCATTCTCTGGCAGGAGCCAGGATTGATCCTACAACCTTCAGATTATTGGACAACTCCTCCTGAGCTACTTCTGTCCATCTCAGGAGAAGAATCGTCCAGTCACAAACTTGATCATGACTGCTCTTTTAGGGAAGACTCTTCTGAATGATTTGAAAGAGAAATAATACAAAATGAATTGCTACTAAAGGTGGACCACGCTTTTAGGTTTTTATGCACTGCTTCAACTTTTTGGCATTTTCTTTGAGAAATAAACTATTAAGGAGTTTGTTTTTCATTTCAAGCAACATTTAACTGTAAAACATGAACGTTGTCTCCAAACACCTGAGCTTCTAAACTACAATCTTAAATTACAAATGAGTAAGGGCATACTCTTAAACTGCTTCCACTCATTTAGCATTTTTATATCCATTAATTTTAGCTTTTAGAATAATTATAAAGAAAAGATTATGTTAGGGCGTATTTTTTCTGTTTCGTTTTACTTGTAGAAAGCATCTGAAGACCCAAAACAGCTTTGGGGTTCCAACCCCAACCATTGGGACCAATAGAAACTTTGTCCTGAAACAAACTAATAGAACTCAGAAGGTGTACATAGTACCTATTTACCAATAACGTGAAAATGAAATGTTTCCCATAATCAGAGTTTTAAATGTTAAAGGAAAAGAGAGTTTTGACTTGCGACTGTTAAAAAATAACAAGCTCATTTACCTGGTGTGAATGAGTTTAGTTTCTGAGTGTAATGGCATCCTCCACGTAATTTCATTGTGATTGCAGTGTTTGATGTTGTATAGCTATTGTTTATACCAAGGGCAATTTAGCCTTGCAGTGCTGCTGCATAGTGCCGCCACAGGGGCGATGGAGGGAAGCTCTGTGATTATGACAATGACTCATATGATGCCTGTCACCTAGAATCAACATCCAACTTAACATGATCTGCTGTCCACATTCAGACCCGTCTGAGATGAAGAGATCGAGAGTGGAGAGGGATGGGAAAGGAGGCTTGGATGTGGGGAGGGAAAGTTGAAGAAGATGACGGTGGAAGGAAAGGATGAAAAAATAAAGAGGAGAGGAACGACAAGCATCAAGAACATCCAGAGAAAGATGATTCACGACAGCTGAACTGTTCATAACATAGAATTGGTGTTGAAAACAGTAATCGCATCTACAGAACCCTCTGATTACAATAAACATCAGCCTCCGCGCACTAGCTCCCTCCTCTGGCAGCTCTCAGCTGTGGATCTGTTCACAGACAGTGCGATTATGCATTCATGAGGCTTTAGCTCCATGTGTGAGCTCTGAGAAAGGCGGATGAGGGAGATCACAAAGATAGCTAATCAGTATGCTAATCTTAGCTCAGGACAGCTAAGGAGTGTAGCGCGGCTGTGGTTCTTATCCGAAGTGCAGACAGAGAGAGTAGGGAAGGGAACGGAGGAGCTGGTGACCAGCGTTGAAAATGGAGGGAGGGAAAGTGAGGCCTTGCACATGCTTCTTGTAAGAAATCCAACAGTTACTGCTCCAGTTTAGTGTTGTGCACACAGAAAACATCAGGCTGCACTAAAAGGCACATTTTTAAAGTCTAAAAATAATTTTGTCCATCTACTCAAACATAAAACATACTTGGCAACATATTCTAGCAATGCTAATGAGATGCAGATTTACAAAAACCTTTAGATATTCTACTTGTGGTCACTATAACAAAATTCCCTCATCCCAGAGTTGTTTGTGATTTATTCAAACATATTTTAAAACGCTGAATCAGCATGTGGTCAACTGGGTCTCAGGACCATTGCTTGAGGGTGTGTTATGTTGAAGCATGGTGGTAGAGTGGTGATGATTTGGGTGCTTAAAATGAAAATTATTGTGTTCCCCACGTCTTACTGGGTTGCCTCAGCAGCTTCAAAGGAAAGATCACACAAATTAGAAAATTAAAAATACGTTTAGTTTATTGTATTTTATATTTGGTCCTTTAAAACTCAGGAAACAGTAAAAACAAGTCTCACGTTTAACCAAGTCACAAGTCACAAGTCACTGCAACCTAATCCCTTTTTTCTGCTCTAAAAGGAAAAACTCAGTGTCACAAAGCTCTGATTAGATGTGCAGAGAGGTGGCAGGAGAAAAAAAACCCGATTACTGACATGGATTCTAGTCCAGACTCTTATGTACATTAA